GTTTCTCAGATACTACCTCCTGAAGCTTTAAAGAAGCCAAAGGGGAACAAAACCAGCACACATGTAAGGTGATGAGCTGGAACACATTGCAGATGCAGACTCTGCTCCACGCAACTCCTACCTTGGACTCTGGTGTAGAGGATGGCGACCTTTGTATTCTCTCAACCCCTATGGGACAGGAGACAGCAGCAACAGGTTCTCAGCAAGTGCTCCTGACATACTGGGATGTTTGGGAACCACCTGCTGAATGCCACAGCACAAGCCAGTTCAGTGTTAGCCACCACACTAGGGCAAATTCCTGTTAATGTACCTTTAAGGTGCCCGTTCCTTTCTTTTCAGTTAAATCTGAGCATGCCTAGGTATTTCTGCCTATCATTTCAACCTTCCCAATATATGCTCCATGACCTTGGGTTAATCATACCAAAAATGTGTCTCTTTCCTTCTTGAATTATGAACTTAAAATGAACATGCACAGGAATGGGTCAACCCTATATGGATATGTACAGGCTCCCTGGTAGATAAATCCCATTGCTTCCCTTGCTGAAGGAGGGCATTGCTTTGGAAGGAACTGCCCAGTGATCCCCACATTATTGTTATTTGTATTCAAGAAGATGCAAACCCAGGGCTGCCCACTACAACCTCAGAATAGTGAGCTTGTGTTTTTTCCCCAGCCCAAGAAAGGGACCTCTGTGTAGTTTTGGAGCCTATCCTGGCACTCATTCTGTAGACCAGGCTGGCCTTGAACTCACAGAGTGAGTTCTGCCTCTGCCTCCAGAGTGATGGCAAGTGTGTGATTGAGTGGTCCAGGTGGGAACAAAGAGATGGGCAGCCATGCAGCCTATGGCTGCTCAATGGGAAGGAAGAACATAGAATATGTTAAAAAAAAAAAAAAAAAAAAAAAAAAAAAACCTTCCATATGCAGGTTACTCACGTTTTTCATTCATTTGGGGCATAAACTTGAGGACATTTCTTTCAAATGAAGCCATCCAGACTATGCATACAGCTACCCACTATTCCCATTTAGTTCCTTTTCAAGCTTTATTTTATCTAATGTAGGAAAGAGACCTAGTTGCCAGAGTGACCAAGAAAAGCACTTAAACAAACTTGGTCAGTTTCACTGTGTTCTGAAGTCACCTCCCATCTGAGACCCCACCAATGGGGAAACAAACCGCCTTCAGGTTCTGCTGTGGCTTCGCCCTACTTTGTCTCCTTTTAAAGTTTCATCAACCTGCTGGCTTCCTCCTAAATGTACCAACTACTCCATTTCCCTTTTACTACTCTTGCTGACCTCACCCTCCCCTTTCTGATAAACACCATCCACTATTCCCAGCCCTCTGATTACCAGCCCCACCAAAGTGAATCCACTCCCAGTGCCCCCTCCCTCCCCAGGAGCCCCCTGCTGACCAAAGCACTGAAGAGGTCCAAGCTGAACACACAAAGATTCTTACTCAATATGCATGATGAAGTAATGGACAAAGACTCCTGATATCAACACACACCTGTAAACATGTACACACATGAAAAAAAAAAACAGGTAATTAAAAAACAACCATATGGCTAAAGCATTTGCCGATTAGCTACCCCACAAGACACTGTTGCTTTCTTCCCATGAAAACTCACTAGTTTTCATGGTGAAGTTATGTCCATAGTCACCCATACATAAGGAAATCCAGAGGAGGAAAGTGAAGAGGCCACATCTGTTGCTATGTGGCAGTGGTGATTCTAAGCCTCAAAGATGGATGCAACAAGTTTTAAGTCCTAGAAATACACCAGAATCACGTTAGTCCTGGCCTAGACCTACCTCTCCTGGCTTTAAAGTTCCCAAGGAACATCTATCTCTGTGGGAATCTAGTCAGCCAAGCATGGTGGAGCATGCCTTTAATCCCCTGAATTTGAGAGACAGAGGCAAGCAGATCTCTTAGAGGCTAGCCTAGTCAACAATGCATTCCATCCAGAGCTATATAGCACCCTATCAAGAACAAGGGAATGTTCTCTGCAGGCATAGGCTCCGCGGCTATAAAGTAATTCCTGTTGGATGCAGTCCACCATTGTAGACATCATCAGCTATTTCCACCTGGTGCCAATATTTACATGATTTCAGAATCTTATTCAACTTTTCCTGTGGAGCCCAGCATGTGGAGGACATTATGCCAATCAAAATAAGGTCACAAATGCTGTGTGATTCTACCTGTAGGAAGAACAGACACATCATGAAGCTGGTGATGACTGTCAGCTGCTGGGGAGAAGGGCAGTTTTGCAAGGTGATGAGTTTGGGAGGCAGGTGGGGTGAAAATCCTACAATATAAACACACTGACCTCCACTGAATAATAAGTTGAAAATGGTTAAGATGATAAATTTTATATTATGTGTGTTTTTTACCACCAATTTTTTTTATAAAAAAGAAAGGAACAGCTTGAACACTGTTTCTCGGCAACAGTATTAGCATTGTACCACAGAGCCAAGGCAGCAACGGAATAAATGCTGCACATCTTTAATTCCAACTCCCAAATTCCCTTCCCTTCCTTCTGCTGACTGAAGCATTCGCATCCTGCAAGTGAGAGCCAGCACCTTGTAAGTCCCTGGCTCAGAAAATGCAGCAGCTTTCAGCCACCATTGTGGAGTAGGCTAGACAGGCCAGCAAGGCCAAGAGAGCACCCTGTGTGGTTGCTGCATCTATCTGCCCCAGAGACAGACAGATACGTACATACACACACACACACACACACACACACACACACACACACTGATAAACAAATTTCTTTTCCAAATTAAAATCATTCATTTTTGGCTATATATGGTACCTCTAACTGGCTATGGGATGGTAGGGGAAGGGTTCCACTACGGATATTGTTGTCTTTTTACCAGATGTATCTGACTGTTTTCTATGTTTCAAAAATAAAAACACCTATTTAATGCAATAAGAAATCCACAGAATCCAAGAAAACTGGAGTTTTTTTTTTTTTTTTGGTTTTTTTTTTTTTTTTTTTTTTTTTTTTTGTTAAGATTTACACAACTAATGTCACCCTAAGAAATCTTCCCTGGAGCTAGTGAGATGGCTCTATGGGTAAGGAAGTTTGCTGCCTGATGACCAGAGTTCCAGGCCCACATGGTAGAGAGAACCAGCTCCAGCAAGTTGTCTTTTGATCTCCACATGTATGTCACATCATTCAATACTGTGTCATGTGTGGTGTGTGTCCCCGTGTGTGTGTGTGTGTGTGTGTGTGTGTGTGTGTGTGTCCTCGCCACACACACATAAATAAATGTGAATTTTTAAAAAAAGAAATCCTATGAAGAGACATATTATGTAGCATGTGTGAGGCTCTGGGTCTGAATATTTGTAATGTAAAAGAAGGGACACTGTTTGGAAAGAGGAAGGGGTCAGCCAAAAGAGGCAGAACAAGAGAAGGCAGAGTAATGATTGAATACATCTATACAACGAACAGAATGAAAGCCATCTTTTTGCATAATACACTATTAAAAAGGGGGTGCATTGAGCCATCTCTGCTAGAGCAAGTGCTCCTAATCACTGAGCCATTCCTCCAGCCAAAGATTGAATTTTATTTTTTAATTATGTGTGTGTGTGTCTGTGCCCATGGCAGCAGTGCATTTGGAAACCAGAAGAGGGTGTTGGATGCTCTGGAGCTAGAGAGTTGTGAGCCACCTGACATGAGTGCTGGGAACAGAAACGGGGTCATCTGCAAGTTAACTGCTGTCATCCTCTAGCTTCAAGAGTTTGCTTTTTAAAAGTACTTCTCAATGTATGTTTTTATTTATTTGGGGGCAGGCATGTGTCACAGCACACATGGAGGTTAAAGAAGAATTTGTGGGGACCAGCTCATCTACCATGAAGACCCCAGAGACTCAACATGGATCATCAGGTTTGGTAGCAGACACCTTTACCCACCTGGGCCACCTGGCCAAACCCATGACCTGTTTTGTAATCTACACATCTCTTCAACGCTGCAATCTCACTGGACAGTCAGCTGCTCCTTCCTTTCTCTCTGGGCATCCCAAAGTAGAGCCTTTGGCTCCCAGAATGCACTGTTTAGGGTGGTTCTCAGTCATGTGGGGCAGCAACTGCTGTTTGCATCCAGTGGGACAGCTCAGGTGAAGTCTAACTTCAAAACTTACTTTTGGGAAGAATTATTTAGACAGTGTAAAAATGCTGTCTCATTCCTATTACAAAGTCTTTAGTTTTAAAAAAGGAAAACAAAATTTTACCAATAAATCCAATTCCTCAAATTAGCTCTTTCAAAGCAAGTTTAGGAATGAGATCCATTGAGTGCCAGGCAGTGGTGACATATGCCTTTAATCCCAGAACTTGGGAGGCAGAGGCAGGTAGATCTTTGTGAGTTCAAAGCCAGCCTGGTCTACAGAGTGAGTTCTAGGTCAGCCAAGGATACACAGAGAAAGCCTGTCTTGGAAAAAGAAACAAGATCTGTGGATGGAAATCCCTGATAGTCACTCAGAGAAGAAAAAAAGCAAACAATTACCTACAATTTTAGACACAAAGGACTGAAGGAGCCAGGCCTGGGGTGGGGGGTGGGGGGAACACGCCTGTACTCCTGCTCAAGGGGTGGAGACAGAATGGCAAGTTCCAAGACAGTCTGGGCTACACAACAAGACCCCATCTCAAAAAAGTAAAAACAAAACAAAAGAACAGAATGAGCAGGTATCTCAGCCAAGATTTTTGGTTTCTGATTTCTTTGACTCTTACCCTTGGTACCAGCTGCCTTCACACACAGATCTGCCTGATGGAGTTCAAGGCACATTTCTTGAAAACCAAATACCCAAAATGACAATCACCCAGACAGAAATACCTTGGGGAAAACATGCCAAGGCCAATTAGAGCATCTTGGATTAGAATGACTACATGGTTGTATGAGGAACTGTCAATCCGGCAAAGAAAGGGCTCTATAAGAAAGCCTGTCTACCTTCTCACTGGCAAACCTGAAGGCAGAGACTGAGGGCCCTAGCAGTAAAGCATCAGCAACCAATCTCCATATAAATCAATTCCAAAGTTTATTAGACATAGAAAAAACATTTCTCAAAGTCAATTCTTGTTAAGTTCTCTATAAAATAATACACGTGAACAGAAAATCACTACATTTTGGTCCAAGATATGTTGGGTCTTTTCCTTCTTCTTCTTCAGATGACAGGTGAATGTAGCCAAATTTATGAGCGTGTGTACTTGCCCCAAATGTGCAACATAAATACAGAAGCGATGAACAAAAGACTCATCACCAACACTGGAACAGGGCCACTAGAATGAGAAGAGAAGGCATGCTTACTTCAGGAACACGGTATGTTTAATACAAGATGGCCTGAGGGCAAAGTGGGGACATTTTTTATGTCACCCATAAGGATTACCAAAATTGTTACTGTGGACAAGCAAGTGTGATAATGTCACTCATTTGAAGGAGGTGTGGTCTCCCTTGTGGAACCATAGCACATTATACACAAACAAATGCATCTCTCAGATACTCTTAATTATGTATACTTAATATATTCTACAGTAAAAAGATAATCTCCCCAAACTCTTATGTGCATATGATCCACTTATAAAGCTTCTCAAATTAGCATGTATTAGGACAACCTTTCCTGTCTACAGTGTGTAAGACACACAGATAGATTATCATGTTACATAATTACAAAATGCTTTTAGATCAGTGATCCCATTCAACATGCACAAACTCCTGACACAAGTGAGATATTATCAACCTCATTTTATATATAAAGAGATCTGAGGCTCGAAGATATTCTTGCTTAAAAACACACAGAATAGAAAAGAGAAGCCTGAACTTGGCCTCACTGATTGCACCCATCAGGCTCATTAAACCTCCTGGAAGTTTGCTTTTGCTTATTTTGTTAAGACAATGTTTCTCTCTGTAGAACTGGCTGTCCCAATACTCACTGAAATCACACTGGCCTTGAACTCACAGAGATGCGCCTGCCTCTACCTCTTTAGTGCTAGGACTATCATGCAAAACCACACCCAGCAAATTTTTAATCCTAACACCACATTCCAGGCAGTGTATGTACACTGTTAACTTACATTCATAGGCTTTGTGTAGAAAGGGAGCAGATTTCCCTCATCTGCCCTTCCTTAATCAAATGCTTTTCCTGTAGAGAACTGCCTAACATGTTTCTTAATGGGAGGGCCTGTAACTGTACACAGCTGTGAACATTGCCCACACCAGGTATGAAGAATTCAATACATGTCAACTGGGATTGCAGAGAGCAGAGATTTCAGAAAAGGCTTTCATCAAGGCATTATCAGGACCCAGGGAGGAACATTAGTACCAGACTGGATAATAAACAAGGTCTCTGCTCCATCAGTCTAAAGTCTGTACAATTAGAGTAAGCAAATTTACAAGGATATGGAGAGGAGCACCACCACACTACACGTGAACTTCCTCCCTTACTGCCAGAGCACAGAGCTAAGGACCCAGCCCTCGGGAGCCAGAATATGGATGCCTGTCACTCAAGCTTGCCTGTGACCCATTCCTTACCTTCAAGTTTGTCTCCCCATCTGTAAGAGGTTAGTATGGCACAAAGGCTACAGACACACACAGGCAGACTTTTGGTGGGCTCTCAGGACACACTATTATCAACCTGAAAATCTTACCGAATCCCCAGAATGATCCAAAAACAAGCTCAAAGGTGTTGGCTTTGTAGATTTGTAGGTAGAATTCTCAACTGTGTCCCTTCACCAAAGGACATTTCTCTGGTATGATTGGGATACTGCTTATGAAACTACAAGGGACAACTTTATCAGTTCCTGAGAGGATCTGAGCAGCACCAACTGAAGGACTCGCAGGGCAAGGACTCACAGGACTAGCCTCAACAAGGGTTTCCCACATTTCTGAGAAATTTAAAATGAGTTCCAGGGCACCAGGAAGAGAAAGGGAATATAAGGCTCCTCCTCCAAAACTAAGAAAATCACCTCTAACAACCATCAAAGGCTGTCAGAGTGCCACCAGCTCACAAACCCTCAGCCAAACAAGTGCTTCCTAAATGCATGTTCCCTAAATATGGTCTAACAAGTCACCAATATGCTTGGGGGTGGGTGGGTTAAGGGGACCAGCCAGGCGTGGTCACATGCATCTATAACCCCAGTGCTCAGGAGGCTGAGGCACAAAGATAAGGTCAAGATTCGCCTAGCTACCCAGTAAGACCCTGGCCCAAAAAGAAAAAAAGAACAAAACTGTATCAGGAAAAAGTTCAATAAATGAATTAAACCAAATCCCAGGGACTGTAGCGAAATCTTCAGAAACTAAGCCTGTAATCCAAGCCAAACTGATTAAACTAACTGCATTTTTGTCTCTTTTCTATCAAACAGGCCGTAGGGGAGGTGTGGGCCTCAACAGTCAGGTCTGTCTGCCTCCTATCATTTGTGTCCGAGTACCTCACTGCCTGAGATTCCTCATCTGCAAAATGGTACAGTTCTTACCTCAGGGCTGCCAGTCAGATCAAAACACAGAAGATACTGTTTTCCTCAAAACAGCAAATGCCATACAAAGGAAATCTGCTGTAATTATTGTTATTGATTATCCATGGGGTTTAGTCAGGAAACAGCAGAAAAGGGTGCATGGTACCAGACACCCTGGCCAAAGAGGTAAGCACAGGATAGGAATTGTCTGGACAGTCACTTCCCATTACCTTATGAGTCCTCCCTAAGGCTAAGCTTGGAAGTGATGCAGTCACCCCCCTGGGTCTGCTGGCCACTCTCCCACAGCAAGGAAGCCAAAGAACTTTAGGTAACACAACATAATGGGACATTTCCATTAGGCTGTATGTAATAATATCAGCTTCCACCTCAGGGTAACTTTGAAAAAAATCACACAATTCCCATTCAAATGGCTCCTCCCCTTTCTCATCGTGGGGCAGAAGCACCAAATGCAGAAAGATTTCCTCTACCTAAGCAGCTTCCCTCCAGTTCTCTGTGCCCATCACTTGCCCTGACACAACCACAGGAGGTCTTCTCTTCCTTTCAATCACTCCCACAAAGGTGGCACTCAGCACCCTAAGCTGTCTAATGAGTCGACGCACAGGCAAGCAGATCCAGTCCACCTGGCACAAATACAGCTACAGTGTACTATGTCAGGGACAGCTCCTCCACACCCAATCACCAGGACAGACACCCACACAGCTGCTCCATGACTTACACTTTGAGCCCAGGGGAATCTTCTGTGTAGAATCTCCACATACCCCCAGTCCCTGCAGAGGTGGTGCGGCCTGCACTCCGTGTCCCACAGCTGGCATTTTTTCTGAAAGGGATAAAAATATCATTACTAGCCTTTTAATAACATATGCTTATAGTATATAGGCCTCTTTAAAAAAAAAAAAAAGCAACCTATAAGAATAAAAGCCTTCTTTACTACCTTCACCTCTCTGATCTTATGTTCCATGGATTGAGTACTACCTGTCATGTGCCAACATATACAGTAACTGCCTTAGCCATCTATAAGCAAGAACATCTATCTCGGCAATGGTTAAGCCAGCATATGAACCCAGTCCTGGCCCCAGGGCCTGTCTGCTAACTACAACATCTAACCTTCTCAATGGACATTTCATCTCAGTTTGTCTTCATAGGAATGTCTGAAGTAATATACCCTATCTATAAATGCCTTTAATATATAATTTCATTTTGAAAAGATTACTTTAAAAGATGCCTTAAAATAACGGTTTGCTGCAAAATTAAGAAAAAGCAATAAATTTTAGTTATATCAAGGTCCTCAAAATGGAGAATGCACATGGTGAATAATTACTTTGAAGTGTACTTGAGCTATTTTGATATACAGACCATAGGTCTTGGAGAGGGGCAGGATGTGAAAAGCAGAAAATATGTAACCAGAACTTGTCCTTTGTAAAAGGATGGAGCTGGTGCAGAGCCAAAGACTTAGACTGAGCAGACCAAAGACTTAGGACCAGGACCAGAGTCTTCTAGGAACTATCCTCCTAGGGTCAGGGGGAAATACCCAGCCCTATGCTAGAGTGGCAAAGCAAGAGCCTGGGCAGCAGGTGGCAAGAAAAGGATCCGAAAGAAATCCTTTCCAGCCATTTATCACTATGCCATAAGTGTTCAGTGTAGGAAAAGAATGGAGAATGTCCTGCCCCACCAAATCCCAATATTTCCTCTTAAAATCCCATTCCTGGGGGGGGGGGGGCTGCTGATTTTTGATTAGTCCAAAAGCCCATCTCACCCCAACATTGTCTTGGCATGACATTCTGAATGCAGAAATCCTGTCTGCAGCCAAGGACGCTCATCCTACAGGTGAGAGGAAGAACCGAGCCTTGGTTCCCGTCTGGCTTCAACTGTGCTCATGACAGAACTCTGAAGGCAGTCAATACCAATGATTTATCTACTCTACTGGAGAATGACATCTCAGATACACTAGTTACGGGCTACAGTAGCCTGGAAACAAACAAATCGATATATAACTGCTTCTTCAGGAAGACTGATTGAAAATAGCAGAAAAGATGTACAAGGTTTGCAGAGTAACTCATGCTCTTAGAAGCCTTCTCCAAACAGGCAAGTCTCTAATCTGGAGGGTGGGTACCCGAAATCTCCTGTTTATATAAAGGGAGTTGAGCCCAAAGATAACCTCATGCCCACAAGAGAAGTTATCACTTGAGCCATAACTACAACCATACACTTGCCACTATTTGCACAACCATAAATACAGCTGTCTTCAAAACTGGAATTTCAAGATCCCTGGAGGAATCAGTAGGGATGCTTTGTTTTTACTTCTGCTGCTGGCATTGAGACAGAGCAGAGGACCTGAAAACCAGGATGCATAGAAATACTGATCTGCGCTCACAATGCCCCTCATTACCTTATCTGGGAAGCTAGCTGAGGTGCCTAACAGAGCCCACTCCAATCTCTTAATCTTCAATGGAGTCTACACGTTCTCTCTGTATCTTAAGACACTGTTTGCCCTAACCATGTGCATGCTTTGGTCTGCTGCTATGGCTGCTGGCACTCAGTGGAGCAGCCCCAGCTCACTATCTGTGTACACTTACTATTCCTTTTGCCTAGGCAGCCTGTCCTCCCTAGACCACAGTATCACTATCTCCCAGCAACTCATGGGTCTTTACTCATGAGCCATACACCCTGAACACCCTATCCAAACTGTTCACCCTCGCTCTGGCCTCACCCTCCCCAGCTTCCATCATTTATTGCCTCTATCTCTTGAAATTACATGACCCATTTATTTGGTTATTTATGGCCTCCCACACTGGGAAAAAGCTCACAGAATGCAGACCACAGACTCCAACCCCAGCTGAACCTTACATCCCACACATTTCTTCTCTGAGGCATTATTACTTCATTCAAAGAGAGACATAAATTGGACACTGTGTAGTAGTCCAAAGCATCACTAACCATAAACTTCAATTTCTTCTCAAAGAATGGACACATTCTTACACAGTTGACAGCAATACAATCATCTAACCAGAAACAGGTTTCCAGAATGAATTTTGTACAGTCTCTCAATACAAATAGCCACCGGCTATCTAATTTCACTGGCCCTACAATACGAGATTCTAAAGGACACATCCATATCCATAACCTTAAAAGTTGCATCTGTCACTTCATTTATACACTGGTTGTCTCATTTTTACTCATCACACTTTGACAATTTGATGAATAGGTACCTTCTGGTTCTTAGAAGTTCTCAGATGGCCAAACTTCACTATTAATTCCTGTTGAACAAAAACCAAGCCCCAAGAACTATCCACACTTACAAGACTAGCACAAAGGTCTGAAACCCCAGTGAGCAACAACACAGAACCCCAGCCTGTACAACCTACACAGTGACTCAATACACTTCCTTTGAATATCTTATTGACAGAACATTGTGGTCATTCAGGGTCATCTTATCGCTCCTGACAGTCTTATCACAACATCCTTCTCTGAGCTGAAATCTGTTGCATACCTAGTCTAAATTCACTGCATAGATTTAGATTTTCCTGCAACAATCAACAAGAAAAGTTCTTCACATCTTCCTTTACTGTTGTGTTGTGTATTTGTGTGTGGTGCTAGAGATCAAGTCCAGGGCACATGCTAGGCAAGTTCTCCACTACTGAGCTATACCCACCATATCCCCACGCCTTCCTCTTCGTGTTCGTAAGCAGTCTTAAAGTTCCCCTTCGACTGTCAAGGTCTACTCCTCTCCAGAAAAATGCTTTCCTAGGTCTTCCAGAAATACAACAATAGGGTTCACCCATTCCTTCAGTTAACATTTACCATGGCATGGTTTATATCAGGAATTGGGAGAGAGGACTTGGGCAGATTCTCTGTCAAAGCAGAGAAGACGAACATGTAAACCTAAACAGTTTTATACCATTAACAAAACTATAATCCTAGCACCTAGGAGGTGAAGGCAGGGTGGTTATGAGTTCAAGGCTGAGCTACGTGAGACTGTCTAAAAGGGAACTAACTAACTAGATAACACCTGAGAAGAGAGCAGACCTAATGAGGATATGCAGATCAGAAAATGGTAATAAGTTCAGAATTACTGGACCACAGGAGAGAGAAAGGAGAGCCCTGGCATTCCTCCACAGGCTCCCTTTTTAGCATGCAGTTACCAGGAACTTACAGAGAACCTAAGTGCATGAATAACAGCAGCTGGAGGATGGGCAGTGGTGGAAACACAAAGTAAAAGAGGTCGAGGGCTAAACTGGATGACAGGAATGGAGGGAGAGAAGTAATGAAAAGATCCTCCAGTGAAGCCGGGCATGGCTGGATAGAGAACAAGAAATACAAAAGACTGGAGTTCCTGGTTTTCTGTAAGTTAGAGTATAGCCGTGTCATTTAAAACTTAGGAAGCACCAAAGCTGGAGAAAGGGCTCAGAACTTAAGAGTACTTGTCACACCTGCAAAAGACCCCATATCGGTCCCCAGCACTCACATGGTGTCTCACAATCATTCATAACTGCAGTTCTAAATGATGTAATGTGCTCTTCTGACTTCCAAGGGCACCAGGCAAGAACATGATGCACATACACACTCGTGCATACCACACACACACACACACACACACACACACACACACGATCCAAAAAGGCACATGAACAGCTGGGGATGAGGAACTGTGGTGACAGACTGCTGTATAAAGCAAATCTTGTTAAACTGAGTGTGTAGTGGACCTGCCAATGGAAGCCTGAAAGGTAAAGCCCCAGAGACACTGGCCTTATGCCATCGCCTTTCGTAAAGTTGTTACTGACCTTAGACTAGTTTAACTTCCCTTTAATTAAGGGGGTGCGTGCAACCGATCAAGGAGAAGAAAACGATGCCTCCCTCGGACAGGGCCTTTATGTACTGGATGGCCACGTCAGCTCAGGCTCACCCAGCCCCAGTGAATCCTCCCTTTCCTGGAACTTCATCCCTTCCTTTCCCAGCCTGCAGCGGGGCCGCCCCCCAGACCCTTACCTCTGCCGGACCGTGGATCCCGCCGCCCGCGCGGCCACCGCTTTGCTGGGAGAACGCCCTGAGGAGCCCACGTTAGTGCCACTGGGCGTCGGACCCGGCTGCGGAGAGAAGCAGACAGAATGTGTGAGCATCAAGGGCTCTCTCAGACCCCCGACCCCGCACCCACCCGGGAAGCTGGGAAACACAGGGAGGTCCCGGAAAGGGAGGGAGGCCACGGCAAGAGCCTGAAGCGGGGAGCCGCGCACCATGCTGACGCCGAGGAACTGCGGACACGGAAGGCACCGGAGAGGAAAGTCGGGGAGTTGCTAGCACTCAGAGCACTAGCGGAGACAGGCTCTGGCCCCGCCCCCAGCCGGCTGGCGGGGTCTTCGCAGACTCTAGGACGTCTGAGCTGTCCTAGGATATGCCTGTGACGATTAACCTGGGAACAACTAGGCCGTGTGAAAAATACAGACCTTTAGCTTTTTTATTTGATCTCCGAGCCTTTCATGGGGACCACTATCATCAAATGAGAAGCTTTGGGCAAGTTCACGCGAGAAATTTAGTCAGGCATTTTCTTAGCGCCCACAGGTTTTGTCGCTGATGTGTCCTAAACTGACGCACGCGTCCCAGGGCTGGGTCGGCTTTCAGTGGCTAGCTGCGCCAGGGGCGGAGATTGCAGAAGCTCGCGCGGTGGGTGCGGGCGCGGCTACCCTGCCATGGCCGAAAACCTGTGCCGAGCCCGGGCCCGGGTTTACCCCCCATCTGTGCTGTTCCTGCATCCCGACATGGGCGTGGGCGGTGCCGAGCGGCTAGTGCTGGACGCGGCCCTGGCGCTGCAGGAGTACGGCTGTGACGTGAAGATATGGACGGCGCATTACAACCCGAACCACTGCTTCTTGGAGACCCGCGAGCTCCCGGTGCACTGCGCCGGGGACTGGCTGCCCCGCAGCCTCGGCTGGGGCGGCCGCGGCGCCGCCATCTGCGCCTACGTGCGCATGGTCTTTCTGGCGCTCTACGTGCTGTTCCTCTCCGGCGAGGAGTTCGACGTGGTGGTCTGCGACCAGGTGAGGCGGCCACCGAGCCTTGGCCGGGGGGGGGGGGGGGGGGGGGGGACCTGTGGTCTAGGTTTTTTTGGAACTGTCCAGCAGGAGTGCTCAGGGAGAGAATGGTCTCCAGTTTTAGTATGGAGCCTTTAAGTAGAAGATCACAGAGATCCCTCCTCCCCTTTCCGTTGAAGGCCCGTGAGATAGAGAGCTCATATGCCTGCATTTTAAATGCTTATTCCTGGCAATAAAGTAGTTGGGCCCGGGGACTAGCATTAAAAGTCACCTTCTGTCACTGCTTGTATCTAACTCCGTTTGTTCTCCGTTATTTCTATTGTTTCTGCTTACAGGCCCCATCCATCTGACCTTCTCCAGTCTTCCTAATCCTGCCACTCCAGGATCCAGCAGTGCCATGGGTTAAAATCAAGCTAAATATATCATCATGTCCCTATTAAAACTGTAGCATTGTCCCCATTGATCTTGGAGAAAAGTCCCAATTTATGTCTTCCTAAGTGGTCCCAGGCTGCTCTCCCAACTTGACTTCTTGCTTCTATCCCTCCCAAGTGCTGGGTTTTACAATATAAGCCACCTTGCTGGACTGAAGTCCAAGTTTCTGGTAAATAGCATCCAGCCCGATCTGCCCTGTAGTCATACTAGACTTGTTTTATAGGTGTTTTTTACAACCCAGGATTTGGGGATTGGTAGGAGGTTGGTGGGTTTGTTTGTGTCTGCACAGGTATCTGAGCTTGCATATGGAAACCATCAGTGTCAGGTATCTTTCCCAGTCAGTTCACCTGAACATTTGAATCAGGATCTCTCATTGAACCATAAACTGAAAGAATCGTCTAAACTGATATATACAGCCATACCCTGGGTTTATGTGGGCAATTGGAACCCAACTTAGATCTCCACATTATCACCTGGAGCCAACTCCTCAGCCCCACATTTTTTTTTTTTTCTTTTTAACTGAGAAGTAACATTTCTCAGGAGTAAAAGTTCAAATAGGAAATATAATATAAAAGTTCCCTGTCCCCTCCTTGAGAGAGCAGAGAGCCACTGTCAACTGTTTCTTCTTTATCCTTCCAGGAAATAACGTATGGCTACTGTAGCGCATATGTGTCTGTTTCTGGGTACACCTTACTTGTACATAATTGGGATTCAATTTACCTGCTGTTGGACACTTTACCTTTGTTCTCCAAATATTTGAGGCATCCTTGTTTATTGATATTCAATCCACATCAGTCCCCATTATTCAGAAATACCATAAATGTTCCTGTTTTCCCTAAAGGACACTGACATTTGCAGCCTGGGTATGTGTGTATGTGTGTTTAGAAGAGACATACTCATATTGCACTCTATGTGATATCCTCATACTCATCTCACTTCATACCTTTGTCCTCGGAGGAAACTCCCGGGGGAGGGGAGGCTCAGTTGTGAGTCATAGAGTGGTTCATTGTAAATGTCATTTGCAAATTTGTCTTCCAAATTTGTCACTTTGTTCTCCTACAGTCTGTACTAGACTACCCCATGCTCTTATCCACAGTGGACTCTACCAGCCATTGTATGCTAACCAAGCCAACAGGTGGAAATAGCCACAATTGCTCTGGGTTTCTTTACTTATGATCCTGAGTTGCACTGATCATCCTGAGAAAGTGTATCTTCATGGATAATGTAGACCTTTACCCAGGTCCTATGACTTAGTAATGCCAGGCAGCTGCGCTGTAACCAAGAAAAGATTGTGGCCATGGCAGTTGATGTACCTAGAGCCTTACCTACTGTTGTTTTGTCTTATTAGGTGTCTGCCTGTATCCCAGTGTTCAAACTGGCCAGACGGCGTAAGAGGGTCCTGTTTTACTGTCACTTCCCAGATCTGCTGCTTTCCAAGAGAAATTCTACTCTGAAGCGCTTCTACAGGGCCCCCCTTGACTGGATCGAGGAATACACCACAGGCATGGCAGATCGCATCCTGGTCAACAGCCAGTACACAGCTTCCATCTTTAAGGAAACCTTCAAGAACCTGTCTCACGTAAACCCTGATGTCCTCTACCCGTCTCTGAACATCGCCAGCTTTGACTTGGCTGTTCCTGATAAGATAGATGACCTAGTCCCCAAGGGCAAACAGTTTCTGTTCCTCTCTATCAACCGCTTTGAAAGGAAGAAAAATCTGCCTTTGGCATTGAGCGCCCTAGTCCAGCTTCGTGGACGGTTGCCATCTCAAGATTGGGAGAAGGTTCATCTGTTCATGGGTGGTGGTTACGACGATAGAATCCTGGAGAACGTGGAACACTATAAGGAGTTGAAGAAAATAGTCCAGCAGTCAGACCTTCAGCGCCATGTGACCTTCCTGCCATCCTTCTCAGACAGACAGAAGATCTCACTCCTCCACGGCTGCTTGTGTGTGCTTTACACTCCGAGCAATGAGCACTTTGGCATCGTCCCTCTAGAGGCCATGTACATGCAGTGTCCCGTCATTGCTGTTAATTCAGGTGGGCCCTTGGAGTCTGTCGTCCACAAGGTCACAGGGTTTCTGTGTGAGCCTGACCCAGTTCACTTCTCTGAAGCAATGGAAAAGTTCATCCACAAACCATCCTTGAAAGTTATGATGGGCCTGGCTGGAAGAGCCAGGGTGGCAGAGAAGTTTTCCGCTGAAGTATTTGCGGACCAGCTCTACCAGTATGTCACCAAACTTGTGTAGTCAGGGGAGTCTGTAGTTTAGGGTCTGTATGCTACATGCGCTGCAATCCATCCTATGGGTTGTAGAAACACCTCTGAAACCAAAAAAGGAGCTAGAATCTAGTGCTAGTGAGATTTTTTTTTTTTTTTTTTAAGTAGACTTGCGTCTTGAATGTGAGCCACTTGTCCACCACATCTACCTGTTATTTTCTGAAAATATCCTTAATGCTATAGTCATTCCACATTTCATCATTGTTGTTGAAAGATGGTAGAAATCTGCTGCTAGCAGACTATTTTAATTCTATTTTTCTGGATTATTGTTCCTTTATATATAAAGGTTTAATCATCCAGTGCCTTAATTGGCTTTAATAGTCTTACCATTGTCACAGTTGATTGATTTAACTTGAGAGTGCAGTAGGAACAGGACTATTGCAGTTCCTACAGTCAGTTTACTTAGAGTATTCTCTGTTAGCTGCTAGGAAATGTATGTTTGATTTTTGTCTGGATCCATAACAAGAGTACTCAGTATTATTTATTGTTTATGGGTGGGGGTTGGTTTTTGTTTGTTTGGGGTTTTTTTGATTTTGTTTTTTTGTTTGTTTGTTTTTTACTGCAATTGGACAATAAAAGGATGTTTGACATAAGAAGAGAATAAAACTTTAGATCTGGGCCTCCATGCTCTGATTTCATCTAGTTAAATAACAAAACCCAAAGTCAGAAAACTAGGGTACACTAGGCAGTTGATATGAAGGGATATCAATACATGTGTTGGCTTCCTGTATCAGAAATTACCCATGTTTGCCTTATTTCTTTGAGCCTGGGCAGAACAGTGTATTGTGACAGGAACTCATGATAGAGGAGGCAACCAGGAAGCAAAGCGATAGAAAGGACCCAATATCCCCTTCTAGAGAATGCCCTGATGATGTAATTTCCTTCCTCTAGCCCTTCCTACTAAAAGTTCTCTCACCTCTCAGTAGCAACATGGGCTAGGGATGAAGCCCTTCAGGGCACAATCCTTTGGGGATGTATTAGTCAGGGTTCTCTAGAGTAACCGCACTTATAGAATGAATCTCTCTCTCTGATATATATATATATGTATATAAGGAATTTATTAGAATGACTTACTGCAGTCCAGCTGATCCAGTGATGGCTGTCTGTGAACGGGAAGTCCAAAGGTCCAGTAGTTTCTTGGTTCATGAAGCTGGATGTCTCGGCTGGTCTTCAGCATCCACTGGGACCCTGAAGAAGGAGGCTCTAATGCCAGTGAAGGCATGGACTTGCTAGCAAGGCGAGGACAAGCAGGCAAAGAGCAAAAGCTTCCTTTCAAATTCTTATATAGGCTTCCTGCAGAAGGCATGACCCAGAATAGAGGTGTGTCTTCCCACCTCAAGAGGGAAGATCTGCCGACTTCAAATTAAGGAGATGTGCCCTCCATTTTTGAATTTTAGTTAATTCCAGATGTAGACAAGTTGGCAACCAAGAATGACCATCAGAAGGGGCATTCAGCATCTAAACTGTATACCAAGCATATTTCAGACATGTTTCATAATGTCACTGAGTCTCCATCTCTTGTAGTGTTTGTGTCGTATATTCTCTCCCGAGGTTAGCATGCCAGTGTTCCCTGTCCTTCACTTAAATGACTTTGTGTGAAGCTTGCTCGAACCCCTACTCCCCTCTGAATTTCCATATCCCTGTGACACTGCCCAGTCGTAATGATTCATTGTTTACCTGTTGCTTGTACGTGCAAATATTAAAGTAATTTCCAATTTGCCTTTAATGTTAAATTCACCTGTAAGAATATAATAATAATAATAATATATGAATACCAGTAGTCAAGTGGTCTGTTTTATGGTAGAGAGCAGAGCCAAATAGCCTGCTTGCCTTAGAGAAAAATAAGCTTTGCATACACCTCAACTTCTTCATCTGTGAAGTGGGGTAATGATCCTGCTGGCTTCTCTGGAAGAGTGGGTGTGGCGGTGGCAGATTTCAACAATAGACATAGTGCAGAAACAATACTGCATGTGTGGTCTATAGACAGTAGCTGCAGCCACTGCCTTTTGTGGAGATTGAAAAGGACTGGAAATTTCATGTGAGCATAGGCCGCACCACAATACCACTTTGTTGAGGTTCCTTAGGGATGCAATTTTAGTTTAAATCTGTATCTCAGGAATATTTTTACCAAGTGGCACAGTACCAAAAAGAAGCTTCACCGAATAAGAATGTCACAGCAAATTCTGTGCAATGTGGGGGTTTTTAGTGTTGTAAAAGACCCAGTAAAGTGGGTCTTCCCCATTTTGTGGTTTGGTTCATGTGTGTTTGAGAATTACAGCTTTTCAGGTCAACCCACATCAGGGTCTGGCTGAGAGTCCTTGCATTCCTGAGGTGGGGAATGTAAAGAGACAGTGGGTAGAATTGGGAGGGCACTCAGTGAATACTGAGATAATCCCCAAGTTTATTACTCGTAGTTCTTGTATGCCCCAATCAAAAGGGGAGTGCAAAAGACTCCCTTACCATAATACAAGGAACAAACAAATATAATTACCTTCCCAATACCCAAAACATGGTCACCAAACCCTAAGTCAAACATCCTATAATTTGTCAAAACATCCAGTAGCCATACTTTTGGCCAAACATCCTGTTGTTTAACCTTGAAGCAAGAGGAATAGGTTTGAACTCTCTGACCTTAAGTCACAATGGAAGAGAACCACATCTGTGGGTCCCCATAGCTCTGATCATTTGATTCAAGGCTGGTGGACCAGGCCACACGATCCATGGCAGCTTCTCACTCCAAACACAAAAATCAATTGCTACTTTGAGTATCCTTCTAAAATGAACTCTAGGCCCCTGCAATTTGTCTTCCTTGTCCTGAGCCCCCATGGGTAACAGAAGACTTCACAGGCCTGGAAGAACAGCACAGTCCTGCCTGCTCCAAATGCCTTGACTCTGAGCTGCTGGGCAAACAGTAGGGTATCCAGAACTTGCAAAATTGCATCCAGTAGGGAACTAGCATGGGCCACTGGAACTGACTTGCATACAGTAGGCATCCATTTAATCCTTGTATGAAATCCAGTGTTCCCTTTGCAAATCACTGTGGGTAAACTACTTGCTTCATCAGCCTGGAAAGGTGAGCAGAGCCTGAAAATTCTGATACCTAAGCACCACCCTACCTGCTTTAGTCATCAAACTCCAGTTGTCTGCCTCACATCTCCCTCTGCAGAGCTGCTCCTGTGCTTGGTCAAGCCCTAGGCTCAGAAAGGTTTGATCCTTGGTGGTCTGAGGTTGGTGTGTAAGACCTTCAGAATGAGGAGTCTTCCAGGTTCGGTCGATACCCCAAGAACTCAATGTCCAGTCCAGTTGCTGCAAAACGCAAGAGGCTTTAATGAACAGAAAACGTTTGCACAAACGGGCTCCTCCAGCATGCAGGCTAGGGAGAAGCCCCTCCCCTGGGCCCAGGTGTTTTTAAAGGCAAACCCACAAGCTTAGGGAGGGGGTGGGACCCTCTGTCCATTGAGTATGGACCCTTGGAGGCCGGATGGTCTGCTATTAGGGTCAGCAGACCTTAGGGCCTCAGAGTGTGCTAATTAACCAGTGTTACAGCTATCTCTTTGTTTCCTAAGGACCCTATTTACCACCTGTTGACTCACAGGAAAGGAGGGGCAGTGTGAATTCTTGTCATCTCAGGGCCTGGTGAGAGGAAGCTAGCAAATTCCAAGGAACAGATATTGGTTAGCTTTCCAGGTCAGACCGTCCTTCATTTAACTTCACTTTTTGGTCTTTCAGGTGTAATTCTCCCAACATCTCCACAAAGCCCAGACAAGGGAAAGCCATGACCGAGTGCATACAGTTGAAAAGTGGGCAAGTCAGGATTCAGTCCATCTCGCCTCAAGTTTGCTCCTCTTGAGACATAAATGTCACACATCCCTTGCACATGCACACCCAGCAGCCCAGTGACAGGCTGTATTATTGCTGTCCTTCCTGCCTGGTAATGTTCCCATGGCCCCTGAACCTTTCCTGTTGGCCTAAAAGCTTGTAGAGCTCACCATGGGTTGCCCTGTGTTTCCTTCCCGTTGTCCTTCAAAGGCAATGACAAGGCCTCTTGAGAGGTGGGGAATCAGACACACAGCTGGGAAGCAGTGGTTCTGTAGGTGAAGGCTGGGTTTGGGGACAGCCCAGGACAAGTTTCTCAGTTGTGTAGATGCTTTTTCTGTAGTGCGCTGTCACCTTCCAACCTGCTGCAGGCAACTGCCTGTTGTGCCTCCCTTACTCACCCTGTCAGTCCTCTTGTCCTGAGTCCAGCTGCTGCCACTAACTGCCACTAACTTTCTGTGCATTGCTAGCTCCCAGAATCTGACAGACTCCAGGGGTCACACAACCTGATTTGCCCTTACAGAGCTGAGAAGCCCAGAGGGAGCAAGGGACCTGCCTGAAGCCACTTAGAGGGGCAGCGGCAGCCCTCAGTTTGTCCTTGTGGGCCCCTCTCCCAGCATCCACACTACCCTCACCTCTCGCCACTCTGAACTTACTCCTTCATTCCTAATCCCAAGCCAACTCCCTGCAGCTCTGTAACCCATGGAGGGCCACCAACACCAGCACATCTGGTAGATGGAGGGTAAAGAGCCTCCCAATGACAGGCGACTTTTCAAGGTGACAGGTGACGGTCAATAGTGGATGGGAAGAGTAGAAAGAAGAGTTTACCAAGCTAAATGGAGCCAGCAGCTCCCCCGGAATCCACAAGTCCGGGGTCAAGCAGGGAAGAAGGCATACAGTGAGGGGAACCAGGCCAAGTAGTTTTTGTTTGTTTTGTTTGTTTTAGTTCATTTTTGTTTGTTTGTCTTGGATTTGTTCGTTTTGCTTATTTAGTATTAGGGGGAAAGCTAACCGCTCTGATTTATTTCACAGTGTATACATGTATTGAAACATACTATAAATACATATTATTAACATGGAATAACTAAAAACTTTTTAAGCTAGATATAATGGCACGTCTTAAGCACCAGAACTTCAGGGCTGGAAGAGAGAGAAATGGGCCCCATGAGATGAGTTGTGGGTAAAGGTGCTTTCCACCAAGCTTGACATCCTGAGTTCAGTCCCTCAGATCCCCATGGTAGAAAGAGAATGGAAGCTCACAAATTGCCCTCTGACCCCCCACGCCCATAAACAAATAAATATTCTTTTAAAAAAATTAAAACAATTTTTTATCTGGATATAGTGGTGTATGACTTTAATCCCAGCACTTCAGAAAAACAGCACTGGGTGGATCACTGAGTTCCAGGCCAGCCTAGTATATATAGCAAGTTCCATGCCATTCAGTGTTATACAGTGAGACCCTTCCAAAAAATATTCTTAAAAGATTTTACCATTTTATAAAAAGAGGGGTTGTAATTGGTTGCTTTTTTACTCTTTTATTCTTTTGGGGGCCCACAATCCAGCTCCCAAATAAATCACACTCACACACACACACACACACACACATATACACACATACACATACAGTCTTATTCTTAACTTATAAATGCCCAGCCTTAGCTTGACCTGTTTCTAGTCAGCTTTCCTTAAATTATCCTGGCTACCTTTTGTCCAGAGGCAAATCCCAGAGGATTTTTCCTTTCTCTATTTCTGTGTATCTTTTCTTTCCTTCTTATTTATTCTGTGTCTGACTGTGTGGCTAACCTGGAGTCCTCCTCTTCTCCTTTTATCATTCTTTGACCTCTTTTCTCTCGTTTTCTCCTATTTACAATCTCTTCCTGACATCCATGAGTATTCTTTCTCCTGCTTTGCTATTGGCTGTTCAGCTCTTTATGAGACCAATCAGGTGTTTTACATAGGCAAAGTAACACAGCTTCACAGACTTAAACAAATGCAACATAAATGAATGTGACACACCCTTATATCATTAAAAAATGTTCTACAGTATAAACAAATGTTACACATCCCAAACTAATATTCCACAACAGGGGCCTTTTTTTAATGAAACTAAAAACAACCCTACTGTTCACTTGTTTTTACAGCATAGAATCAAACATTGATATGTTCAATTAGTGCCCTGAAATGTACATTTACTCTTCATAATAATCTCTTGCTGTTATATTTTGAGATTGCTTTGACTTTTTTTGTTTATTTTTCTACATAGGGTTTCTCTATGTAGCCCTAGCTGTCCTGGAACTCACTCTGTAGACCAGGTTGGCCTCAAACTCACAAAGGTCCCCCTGCCTCTGCCTCCCGAGTGCTGGGATTAAAGGTATACATCACCACTGCCTGGCTCTGCTTCAACTTTTTGGTACTGTAAGCAGCTCAGTGAAAAGCTTACAGGCAAATTCTAAGAGCAAATATTTAAAAATATGAACAGCAAAATTAGAAGGCAAAATCTGGGGGAAAATAGTCATGAAAAGGAGATTGCGAGAACTGCCTGACATCACAAACACACTCAAGAATGCAAAAATTTGTAAAAACCAAAAATTAATTGCCTTCAATGATGATTTTCAAACCAAGTTACCACATTAACCAGCTCACATATAGCCAAACTGTAGGCTTCCTTTGCATCATGAATCCAGAAATTTGAGGAGAGGACATTTCAGTTTAATAGAATTAGACAGTGTCACGTGTGAGGTCCTGGGAGCCAGCATTGAGTGGTGTGGTCTTAATGCTTGCAAGTGGCTGAAATCACAGCTCTAGGCCAAAGAGGGGGGATTTCAGGAAACTACCAGGATAGATCGTACAGTCCAAGGAAAATTGGGCATATACAGGTGTGCTGGTTTAAATAAAAACGGCCCCCATAGGCTTATAGGGAATGGCACTATTAGGAGGTGTGGCCTTATTAGATCTTTGAGGTTC